GCCCCAGCAGAGGCAGCAGGGAGAGCAAGGAACAGGTGGCCAGGGGATGAAACCCGCAGCCTGGCTTCACGGCCCCAGAACCCTCCCCTCCTGTTCCTGACTCTGCCAGTGATCCTGTGCAGGTCACTGCACCACTCTATGCTTCAGTTTCCCCACTTGGATATAATTTATCATTGGCCCTTTAAAAATTCCTCCAGTCCTGCATGATGAATGCCATTGGGTAACACTGAGTTCCTGTGTGAAAGGAAATTTCCCCACCCACCCACAGGAGAGGAGAAATTTTAAAGGGACAGGACTGTATTTCCCTCCTACCTACAGCATGCTATGTGGCTTGATTCAGGGGTTCCAAGGCCAGAAGAGACCCTTGTCTGACCTCCCGTCTAAGACAGGCCCGAGAATTCATGGATGGGCATAAGGGGCCCAGGGACTCAAACCAGTGAGGTGCTAGCGAAGGGCTTTTGTAATTCGCACTCCGTGACTGGAGGGAGTCGCAGGGCAGGGGCAGGGGTGGCTGGGCTTGGTCTGTTTCCTGGACCCTTTTATTCTGTGTTGTCAGACACAAGTCCTGCTACCTCATACTGTTCCCCCAAATGGGTGAATGGGATTCTGGGAGAATCAGTCGTCCTCCCGCTTGATTATGAGGAGATGTTCAAGAGCATCAGGTGGTCCGCACCCAGCCCTCGCCAGGACGAAGCCTCAGGCAGAACGGTGCCTCTTGCTGTTGTCACACCGGGGGCACCCGGAGCCCTGCCCCGTCTTGATGTGAAGGACGAGCGATACAGAGGGCGACTGAGACTCTACGGCCGGACCTATTCGCTGGAGATCAGCAACCTGACGATGGCAGATGAGGGCAAATACGAAGTAGTGCAAACTCTAATTACAAACAATCAATACGGCTGTGACTATCCCCTGTCCATCTACAGTGAGTGTCTGAGGGTGTGCATGGGCGGAGGGGCAGGCACTGGGAGTGGGAGGCCATAATGTGGACTTCAAATCAGTTGCAGACTTCACAGGAAGCTTTTAATGATGCAACCAGACCATTTGGTGTCGGGATGTGTGTGTGTGTGTGGAGTGGGTGGGAAGGGGGGCGGGGCTGAGGTGGGAAAAGGCGGGGTGGGGCGGGGACTTTAGGGAAGGAGTGGAATGGGGGTGGGGTGAGGGCGGCAGGGCCGGCTCCAGGCACTAACGTAGGAAGCAGGTGCTTGGGGTGGCCAATTCAAAGGGGCGGCGCTCCGTCCAGTATTGGGGCGGCACGTCCAGGTCTGCAGCGGCACTTTGGTGGCGGGTCCTTCACTCCCTCTCTTCCTGTTTGAGCTGCTGCCGAAGTGCCGCCGCTCGTTTTCTTCTTTTTTTTGTTAGCCGCTTGGGGCGGCAGAAAATCTGGAGCCGGCCCTGGAGGGCCAGGCAGGGGCAGGGGCAGGGGCAGGGGCAGGGCCGGGGGGGGAGGGTCG